ATCTGTTGACAAGGAGCTCTAAGAGATCTAATCCCTCCATTTTCCCCAGAGGCAACCTTTCTCCTACTTCTATCGTCAGTTACACTTACCTGTCTATCTTAGGGTATTCTTCCACATATCAGTCTTTCTCATACTTCTCCCTCCTCTGCTTCCTACTTTCTCTTCTTCCTATTTCCTCCTTGTTGTCCTCCTACATCCTTCCTCCTCTTCCTTCTACTCTTCCCACTACATCCTCTTCCTCTTTCTACTTCTTCCTATTTCCTCTTCTGTCTCTCTTTCTCTTCTTCCTCTTTTATTGCCACTATCTCCTCTTCCTTTTCCCTTTCTGTTTTTTTGTCTGTCTCTCTGGAATGCCTGTGAATCAGATATTAGAGCTTTCAGATTGATTCTCCAATGTTAGTAACTTTTTAAATTTTCAAGTTTTATCATTGTTCTACTTTCGAGTTCATCAATCATCATTTCTAGTATTTACACTCTTAGAATTCCCTTGTTTATTTTACTCACTAACAGCTTCTTAGAGGCTTCATTTCTCTCAGTGATTGGTAAAATTGAAATGTGAACTCCAAAATTGTTCTTTGTGCCCTAGAATGAGAACCATCTTAATGGACATTATTCTATTTACTGTTATGTGGATCCCTTCATGTGTCACCAGGTTCTGACTTGAATGTCCCCCAAGGGAACATTCGTTCCCAGGGTGGTACTATTAGAAGGTGATGTGGACCTTTAAAAGATGGGGCCTAGTGAAGGGTCCTTAAGTTATTATAGGTGTGCCCTGAAAGAAGGATCGCTTCTTCGTTTCCCTACTCTGTCCTCCCCTCCCCCTTTCCCTCTTCCCTACCCTCTCATTCTCTTCTCCCCCAGCCCCCGTAGGACCCCCAGGGCCCCCAACAGCACATTGGACTAGTTCAGGAAATCCTAAAACCAGACAAATGCAAAAGAAACAGTTTTGAAATTGCTTCTGCTGCTCCCTAATCCTTCTGGTTTCATTAACCTTCCAACAGTCTTAGGGAGATGTTTTGCACAAGGGACCTGATTAGGTCTTCCCTGTAAGACCTTACAACACCGGAGGGTTTGGGCAACCCTGACCTGCAATACTGGAAGGCGTTGTCTGACCTGAGCTGTAACACTGGCCCGCACTGTCTGTCCTGAGCTATACCCCCGGCTTCCTCTGAGCTGCAGCACTGGCAGACATTGTCCACCCTGAGCTACAACACTGGAAGGCATTGCATGCTCTGAGCTACAATACTTAGCAGGTGTTGTTTGCTACAGAGTTGTAACCCTAGTGGTCTCTGAGCACTGGTGAGTGGAAAGAATTGTGTGGACAAAATTCTGTATCAATATGATCAATATGAACCCCAAGATAAGCATTCAAATGTTTTTGCTTTCATGCAATTATACCTAACATATTTATAAGATGATTTCTTTGTTGCTTTGTATGTCCCTCCCCCATGATGTAAATCCTGCTTTCACTGTATTTGATGTTGATATAATTTGTGGAGGGGAAGGGAAAAAACAAATTGTTTAAATAGGGATACAGGTGGACCCATTGCAACAATGACAATGAGATGAACAAATCGTTATGTTGAAAAACGATCTTTACAACTTTGGCGGGGGGAGGGGGAGGGAAGGGATGGGAAGGGGAAACAAAGGAGGAGGCAACAATGCTTGATAAGAAATGTACTCATTATCTTGCCCATGTAATTGTAGCCCCTCTGTACGGTATTTTCACAATAAAAAAATATGATCTCTGGCTTGTTTGGACACAGGTGTTCCTAAGGCTGTGTTATCTGCTACCTTTAACAAAAATAAAATTCAATATTCAATCTTAAGCCTGCAAACTGAGATAAAACTTTTCTCTTTGTAAAGTTTGTCTTTTCTAGTATTTCATTGTAGTAGTGCAATTTCATTGTAGTTGACTAATTCATCAGTCCAGCACAATTATTACTATTTGTCTTGGTAAAAGAAGCTATGGCATTTGTAATCTGGAATCCAAATGTAGGTGTGAGATCTTCTGCATTTCTCTTCAATCATGGTCTTGGGTAGATGGCAAGCTTTTCATTGTTTTTTCTAGATGATTCCATGAAAAAAAAAGCAGCCTTTTGTGATAGCAGTTTATTGCAAGATGGTCAGCATTAGCTTTCTACCAGTAGATCGGAAGTTTGCAATATTTTTTACTCCACACAATCTTTTGCTCCACACAATCACAACACCAACACCATGAATGTGGGGGTGCAACTGAGTGGCAAAGAGAACACTTAGGCATATGTGAGGCCCTGGGTCCGATCCCTAGCATTAAAGAAACAAAACCAAGCCAGACATGGGATTGTACACCTGTATTCCAAGCTACTTTGGAGACTAAAGCAGGAGTGCTACATGAGCCCATAGGTTGAAAGCCTGCCTGGGAACACAGTGAAACCTCATCTTAAAGCAAAACACAACCACAATAATCCCTCCCCCCACCAGACCTCAGTAATTAAGGCTTCCAAACCCACAGTTCTATTTCTACTCTTAATCACTGCTAAACTTCAAAGTGTACTGTTCATTTCTGGCATCTGTAGAATTTTCTGTTTTCATCCTAGCTTTTTCTTATAGTTTATCAAGAATTTGTGGTTAATGGGAATGGTGTTGTGTCAGCTTCCTATGCAATGGTTAATCATGACTGTCTGTGTCTTTTCCTCTCCCACCCACTGAACCTTTAGAGCAATCCTTTCTACAAAATCCCCTGAACTTTCTTCACATGTCACTTGCCTTCTTCCTCCATTCTCTCCCTTTCTCTAGAATCTTCAGCATCCAGGAACTAAGTCAAGACAAGTGAGCCTTCTTGACAGTGGTTCCTTTATTGAGTATAGGAGGGAAAAAGATCTCACAAATCCACAGATGTGTAAGGACATTCATTCTGTTATTTCTTATAACAGATCCAGGGAATGGTGATGGATTAATGTGTAAATAAAACCAGTATTTTATTTTGCTAGCTTATTACAAAGATGTGTCATCAAGACAATCTGGCTGGTTCAGAGTTTAAAAACAAGATCTTAATGTCAAAGTTCTATTCACAAGAATCTCCGCAGTTACAATCTAAGAAGCACAAAGTTAAAATTGGAAGGCATAACTCCAGGAAGGAAGTAGAAACCATGTGCCAAAGTGCCTTTTGCCAAAAGGGGAAAAGAAATCACAACTTCTAAATCTAAGAAACAGTTGACATTTTTGAGATGAAACAGATTTTCAAGATCTAAAGAAAGATGATTCCTAGGTCTATGTGTCACTGTTTCCAGGTTAGTATTTGTTGAGATTCCATCTACTTAGGGTTTTAGTCCAAGGTCCTTGACTTCCATCCTAACACAGGACATAATGGTAAAACAAACAAAACAAAAAAACTTGGCAGAGCTTTATTGAGTAAGCAAGTAAACAGGCAAGCAGAAAGGCAGAGGTACACTCTGAGTGTGGGTGCTCTTTGACAGCTGTGGTATATGAAGAAAACATTTGTCATTTTAAAAAAAGTTATTTTGGGGTGTTTTTCTTTGTTCTCACCCATGGCCCATTTAATCTCTCATGATGTTACATTGTTATCATTTGGATTTAGAGCCTGTAAGACTGACCAGCTCATTAAACATAGGCTTAGCAGGGCACCGGTGGCCCATGCCTGTAATCCTAGCTACTCAGGAGGCTGAGATCTGAGGATCGCCGGTTCAAAGCCAGCCCGGGCAGGAAAGTCCGTGAGACTCTTATCTCCAATAAACCACTCAGAAAACTGGAAGTGGCGCTGTGGCTCGAGGGGTAAAGCATTAGTCTTGAGATGAAGAGCTGAGGAACAGCGCCTAGGCCCAGAGTTCAAATCCCACGACCGACAAAAACAAACAAACAAAAAAAAAACCACACATACACAAAAAAACATAGGTTTAGCATCCCTTCAAAGAAAGGATATGTTTTGCCATATTCCCCCCCCCCCCAAAAAAAACCAAACAGCTGTACATCCTTGAATAAATGCTTTTCTGGAGGAGTTATTTTCCCAAGTATTTGCTTTTCCAGGATATATGTATTTTTTTATGTCCTTGCGCAGTTTTATTTTGGGCCAATAGGCAAGGCCCTATGGAGATGGATGCTCTTTTTAATCCCTTGTACTAACACTGCAGCTTATGTAGGAGTGTTTGTTTCTGAACTCCTGGCTGCTGTTTACCGTGCCTCATTTCCCCTAATCGAAGTAGACACCTAACGAAGCCTATTCGCTCCATCTAAACCTAGAACAGGCCACTCGTGCGGAATTAACTTTCTCCCATGCCCGTGGCCCATCACCGTCGGTGTCCGGGGAGGGAGTGCCACGCCGGCATCCCTCCGTTACCACGGCAACCAGCCCGCACGGCCACAAGGACATTCTCACGCGTGATCGCCGACGACTACGGCGGCACCCCGTCAACTAGGAAATGTAGGAACAGTGTTCACTCCCCGGTCTCAGGATGAACTATCTCAAAGTTACCGACTGTCCCACTGGTGTTTTTAGGAATGACTCCGGAGGACCCATTCCAGCCGCATTCCGTTTTAAAGGATCCGAATGGCCGGACCAGGTCTGATTATTCCGACGCTTGGAATCTTTGATGATTTGCCCAGAAATCCATGACTCACAAACGTCAGGGCCTGGAACGATCGCAGCCCAGGGTCAGGGAAAAGTTGTTCCAAGTTGTCCCGCCCGGCGCATACAACTCCCGTCATCCCCGTGCACAGAAAGAAAGCGGAGAAAACAGTCAACAAATGAACACGGGCACCGCGTTTTGCATTCCGCGGGGTCTCGGGTGCAATGGCGCCTGGTTTTCGTAGTTTTTCCACCGAGAGAAGCCGGCGCCTCCATCTCTGCCCGGAAGGAACGGAAAACTACACTTCCCACAAAGAGGCGTGGCCGAGCGGCGGCCCGATGACGTCACGGACCCCGCCAGCCAATGGCCGCTGCGGGCGGCCGTGAGGCAAGCGCCGTCAGGCGCCAAAGTGGTTTTTTTTTTTTAATTTTTTTTTTTCCGGAGTCGAGCGGGCGCTGCTAGCGGAGGCGCCATATTGGAAGGGACAAAACTCCGGCGACAGCGAGTGACACAAACAAACCCCTGGACCCCTTCGCGCCCCCTGCTCCAAGCGCCGCGATGTTGTACCTAGAAGACTATCTAGAAAGTGAGTGCGCGGCTCCGGCAGTGGCCGCCCGTGGGACCGGCGGGCGGACGGGCGAAGGCGCGAGTGGACGGGCGGGCGGGATGGCGGGAGGGAGGGGGGGGAGCGGGGGATGTTTCTTTCTCACGGTAACTGGCAGCCTCGTTGTGGGCTCGCCGGCTCCCTCGATGCCCTCCCCCCACCGCCGCGCACACGCACGCAGTGACGCAAGCGCGTCCTGCGCTCGCCGTTGGCTCCGCCCCCTCCCTGACGGACTCTCCACTCGGACAGTGATTGAGCAGCTTCCCATGGACCTGCGGGACCGCTTCACGGAGATGCGCGAGATGGATCTGCAGGTGCAGAGTAAGTGTGCGCGTTTCCCTCGGCTGCACTCGACACCTGCGCCTTCCAGGCCACGCCGCTGGGGACGCGTGTCACAGAGCCAGCGGTGCCAGATGCCCGCCGGTCAGCTGGGTGCTGGGTTTGGGTTTTGGTGGTTTGGTGTTCTGGTTTTTGGCTAGAGAAAGTCACCAAGGAACATACTTTTTTTTTTTTTTCCTTTCCTTCAAAGTTTGCCATGGGCAATAAAAACTGAATCTGTGTCTTAGTAGAAATCAGCATACACGTGGAGAAGGTTTTCATTGCGGATGCTTGGAACCCGAGCCTTCCTAGTGGTGTGGAAGTGCGTTCTTGATGGGAATTTCTCTAGCGTTGTAAACATGAAGGGATCTTTAGAGAACCTGGCGAACTTGGGATGGAGTATTATGCCAAGTTAACACAAGTGTCAGCAGCAAAATCATCTTCTCAGAATAAGTGAGAAAAAATAGAATTGTACGGACAGCTTCCTGTGGAGTGAGGACTGGAGAGAGACAGCTCAGGGTCCACCTGGAGTTGCTAAGAACTTACCCTTTCTTCCCACAACTGTGCATGGATTTCTCCACTCTTTGCTCAGGAACTCCCCCCCCCCCCCGCACGCTTCCAGTTTCTTCTTTTGGACATTTGGATTGTTTTCCAGCTACCTCCCAATCTACTTACTTTGAGGTCCTTAAAATGTTAAAGACTCAGTGATCACTGAGGTCCTGTTCTCTGCAGAATGGAGTACTGTACAGACTCTGAAGTCAGATCTGAGTTTAGGACATTATTAATTCACTCATTGACTTTATATTGCCACATCAGATGGGTTTTTATTGTAACAAAAGAGTCATTTGAAGGTTTAAATAATACAAATGAAAATGTGTAATACTTGATACAAGGCAGACATTAAATAAATGGTTGCTGTGAATTAATTTTAATGTCCTAGTAATTTGGATTTATCTTAGACCAACTGTGGGTTTGTTCAACTTAATTTTTTGCAATTATTGGAATTTTCTAAAGATAATTGGTGTCGTAGGTCAACAAAAGATACCAGCATGTCAGTTTTTAGAACAATCTTATTTGAAGGAAAATACTGAAAATAAATGAACTCACAAGAGTTTTTCAGAATCTGAAAAACTATTACGCAGTATATTAAAAAATGTATAGTAAAAATATTTTTAGCCTCTCACATAACAGCAACATTCATTTTGCTTATTTTTTTCTTTTTTAGGCAACATCTAGTGAGATTATTATTCTTGGCACACACTTTTGAAAAAACTTATATTGAATAGTGTGTTAAGTGAATAATGTATTAGGTCAATAAATGATTATTGCTACTGCTTTCAGATGTGATCTGAGGTGATGGTATGCTTAATGATATATGAAAAGTGCTTACAATTTTTTTTTAAAAATCATTTTGTTTTGGTTTTGCAGTACTGGGAATTGAACCCAGAGCCACGCTTTTACCAGGCAAGCTCTCTGTCATTGAGCTACACCCCAGCCTGTTCTTATCATTTTTGTCATAGAAAAATGTTACAGTTATCTAGTACTTTCAAAAAGCAATTGTATTTTGCCATATTTAGCTGAGGTGATAGAATTAATTCCAAGACTGTCTTATGCAAAAGCTATGGTATAGATCCTGCTTATGTTATTGGTCTTATTTTAATTATTGAGAAAAGTTTTGAAATAACAAAAAATAGTCAATAGGAAAAATACTTTTTAAAAGTAGGTAATGAAGGCTTTCTATGTTACCTAATCAAAGTTTTTTAAAGTGACAGCCAAGTAAAGCAGTATGTTTCATCAGATTTCTTTCCCCAAATATACATGTATTTACACTTGGTATATGAATTTGGCTATCTAAATATGAGATGCTTTTATGATGCCAGATGCAATGGATCAACTAGAACAAAGAGTCAGTGACTTCTTTATGAATGCAAAGAAAAATAAACCTGAGTGGAGAGAAGAACAGATGGCATCCATCAAAAAAGTAAGCCAATGATGCAGATGACTTATCAGTAGATATTGGGACCTTTGACATAGATACTGTAAAGTTGAATAGATTTCAAAGTAATACAAACTTACCAGTAGTTGTTTAGGTAGTTTATTGTGGCGCATAGCCTATACATAGGAATTTTTAATCATGGAATCATTTTTACAACTTTTTACATTGTCTACATAACTGTTACCTAGTGGAGAATTACAGAACTAAATTCAAATGTGTCTTTTTTTGGTCAGTACCAAGTTTGAACTCAGTGGGTCATACCTGCTCTGCTTGATTGCTTGCTGGCACCCTACCTCTTAAGCCAGTTTTGTTTGTTTGTTTGTTTTGTTTTTTGCTGGTTTGTGGGTGAGGGGATACTATCATATTTTACTGCTTGTGCTAGCCTTTTCCAATGGTCCTCTGGATCTCAGCCTCATAAGTTACTAGGATTGCAGGCATAAGCCACTGATACGTGACCCATTTTATTTTTTTTCTAATTATATAATTAATTTGTCTTATAGTGATGTAATACTGTTTTCCAGTTTGGCCACAAATGGGATAAAATCAGATTTTGAACATATTTTATACATCTTTTAGGTATATAAGTTGATGAACACAGAAAAGAATCTCAAGGATCCTAAAAAGAATATTTCACTTTACAACTCTAAATTTTATTTTATTTTTTTTACTTTAAAAAGATTTTTTTCATTTAATTTAAAAAATTATAAATTTACAATTACATGGGCAAGAACAACTCTAAATTTTATACAAGTTAGATCTAGAAATACAATTTAAGAAAAATGTATTCATTTTATAGGGCATTTTTGAGTTCTTCTCCAGGTTAGAATGGAGTTCTCCCCATCCCAAAGTTTGTTTCAGGGCATGATCTAGTTTATTGAAGCATGTATTGGAAGAATAACTGAAATGATCTGTTGGTCCTGGCTGCCATTTAGCTCTGTGGTGCTGGTTAAGTATTTTCACTGAGTGGTAATGCCTCCTTATACCCATTCTTCATTGAATTGTTCAAGGAGCAGTATGAAATTAGTTTAGATAGGACAGATTCAGTAGTTGTATTATTTGTTCTATCATGTGGGGAAAGATTTTTTCTGTTTGGAACAAAAAAATTAACATCTGTAAGAGAAATGATCCTGGCTTGGAAGGTACCCAATGACCTAGGTGTTGTGAGTATACACATTACATATAAGCACTCCAAAGTCCTTGGTCACCCTTAAGTCTTCCCACCTCTTTTCCTTATATCAGGGATTGATTGTAGGGTGTTGCACTTGCTCTTGGCTTGGTGCTATACCACTTGAGCTGTACTTTCAGCTCTACTTTTTGCTAGTTAATTTTGGAGATTGAGTTTCAGGGACTTTTCTGTTCAGTCTGGCTTAAGATGATGATCTTCTGGTCTCAACCTCCTGAGTATCTAGGATTCCAGGTATAAGACACTATTGCCTGCAAATTTGTTGAATATATACTCCCAAATGGCTGACACCTCATAGAAATTCATACATGTTGTTTTCTTTTTTTTAAAGGTAATTTTCTTTACACTCTGGAGAAATCCAAATGTATAAATGTATGAAAATTTTTACCTAATTGGAAATGAGAGATAATACAGTTGGGTAACAGATACAGATCAGAATCCTTTCTGTAGTTAGCTTTTCTTTTATTTATTTTTTTGTGCCAATACTGGGAACTCAGGCCTCACAGTCCTGCTTGACTTTTTCACTCATGTCTAGTGTTCTACCACATAAGCCACACCTTTAGTTTCAGCTATTTTCTGGCTAATTGGAGATAAGAGTGTCTTATATTTTTCTGTCTGGGCTGGCTCTTCAAATCTTAGTCTTTTGAGTACCTAGGATTGTAAGTGTAAGCCACAGGTAACCAGCTGTACCTTCATTTTTAAAACATTACAAAAGTAGAATATAAATCTGCCTTACGTGTTAGATAAGTCTTAGTTAATAATGGTTTTTTTATTCTTTAATATTATTCAGTAGTTCCCATATCATTTTGCGGTATAAAGGCTAGACATGCAACAATATTTACTTGTATCTCTTCTAGGAATTCTGAACATCTTTCTTTAATCCTTGGCCATTGTCCATAATTTCTAAACCTTCCCTAATCACATCTTCTCACTAAGAGACTTTTCATTGCTAATGTAGGATGACTTGACAGTGATAGGCATGCTAATGAAAATGCAATTTATGTCCTACATAGCATATTTTCAAATTATTAATTTATTCTTGAAATGAAAATGTTTCCATTTAGGACTATTATAAGGCTTTGGAAGATGCAGATGAGAAGGTTCAGTTGGCCAACCAGATATATGATTTGGTAAGTAAAGTGAGTGCATGTGAATACTATGCCATAAGTAGTGGAATTATGGATTATAGTTTAAATTTCATTAAATTAAATGTAGTAGGAAGAATAGAATAAAACTAACTGCATTGTTCTCTTGATCATGTGTGTGTGTGTGTGTGTGTGTGCGTATTTTACTTTCTTTGTGATAGAGAATTCCCTGTGTTTAATTGGTCAAGACCCTTGCATATCACAAGAGACTATTGTAAGGTTGTGTGTGGTTCAGTACATGTGAGTGCTGTGAAGGCAGGAGTTCTTGGCACTCTGCTTAAGATGAGGAAGAAGTCAGGCACCAGTGGCTTGGGGCTAAAATCTTAGCTACTTAAGATACTGAGATCTGAGGATCCCTATTTGAATCCAGTTTGGGCAGGAAAGTTTGTGAAACTCTTATCTCCAACAAACCACCAAAAAACTGTGGCTCAAGTGGTAGAGCCCTAAAATTTAAAAAAAAAAAACAAAACCAAAAACCTCAGGGACAGCACCTAAGCCCTGAGTTCAATCCCCAGGACAGACACAAAAACATAAATAAAATTGAAAAAGAGAATTTAAGTCAGTGTTTAGCTAAAGGATGTTAATAATTTTCATTAACTAGCTCAGGTGGTAAACATGTTATATTAGACTATGTCAAATTTGTAAAGAGGTTATTTCTTGCAGCTTTGCTTGAGAAAGATTGAATCCACCAAGAAACCAGATAGGATGGACAGTTATTTCCCAAACTGATGCCTTTATGGTGACATGATAGTATTTAAATGAAAAGATATTAATTTCTTTTTGTACTCAGAGTAGAAATAGAAAACAAATTTCCATTTGGGGTTTACTCTGGCATATAGAATTCACATTTATTTTTGCAGTCTTATGGGAGATAGTTTTATTACTGAGCAAGAAAATTTAAATAAAATGTCATTAGTGAGTATGACACAATAACAATGTACATCTGTATGTTAGACATAAATGCTTATACTAAATTGAAAAAACCTTTGTCATGTACAACTACATAGAATTTGATTGTTTTTATACAGTGGAATGGCTCAGTGGCCATAATAATGTAGGCTTTTTGGTTCATATAGTTATAAAAATAATTGTAAAAGATAAAGTGAACAAAAGGTTAGAGTAGGCTGTAACTTGATTTATTTTTGAATAAACTCCAAATCCTTAACTGTTTCTGTCTTAAATGATATCTGCGAACATGGAAACAGTAATTTACATTTTAGTATAAGAATAGTTTATGAAATTCATCCTTATATTTAATGACTATCCATCTTTAGAGACTACCTGCTTTTTTATTGTAATTTATATAACCTGTATATATAAACTTGGTTATATAAACTGTAATTTATATAACCAAGTTGTATTATTGGCTTACTTATTTCTTTTTTACTACTTCTTACTCTTTAATAAAGGTATTTCATGAATTTACAAAAAGGTTTATAACATTTTTCTATGCTTTTTAAACATGTGTATGTATTATTTGGCCTTTGTTGATTATGCTGTTCTTCCATCTGTACCTACTATAATGAAGTTTACCTGGGTATAATGGAAAACTAAAAGTATTGGCCAGTGAGGGCAGGAAAGTCCAGTGAGACTCCATCTGTCAAATAACCAGCAAAAAACAGGGGTAGACACTTGGCTCAAGTGGTAGAGTGTCAGCCAAGAAAACAAGCAAGGTGCATGCCCCTGAGTTCAAGGCGCAGGACCAGCAAAAAGAAAGTAAAACTAATAATGAATTCTTCCTTAAGGTTTTTGCTAATTTGCTGGAAAACACATTCAGGAATTCAAGTGGCAAACCCATACAGAAGGATGTAACAAGTAAATATCAGTGGGATTGAGTACTAAAGGGTAATTTCAGTTTTTCGATTGAATTGTTACACCCAGTTATCAGTTGATTTCTTAGAGGAGATGACATTAGTTTTGGAGTGTCCAGGGCTAGATTAAGTGTTGTTTTGAGGAGAAATTCAGAGATAGTGGCATAAACAGATTGAAATTAAAAATCTGCATATGCAGATTACATCTGGTCCCTCACAGTTTTGCCTGAAAGATTGGATTTTAAAAGACCTAATAGCAATGGCTATTGCTTTGCCATGAGAAATAAGTGGTCTTTTTTGCTGAAAATAATAGAAAAATTTCCTAATCATCTATTTCTTGACCTTGTAAATCTTGGTCTCTTTTCGGTTGCCACATACTGAAGCTGGACATACCTTCTGTGTATTTCTTTCTTTGTTACTCTTTTTATCCAAGTGCCACTCTAGTTGAGTTCTTGAACTCTTCTGCATATTTTCCAGTGACTCCCACTTTTTCCATGACTTTTCTTCTCCAACATGTCACAGGCAACTGCATAACTAGTCATGTGGCCATAAAGTTGCTGTCACTGCAGATTTCATCCTTTTCTTTGATGCTACCTGTTAGTCTTTGCATTTTGATTTAATTTCTCTCTTTCAGTGGATATTCCAAAGGTATGCCTTGCATGGTGCCAGGCTCAATCGTGCAATTTAAAAAAAAAATCTTGTACTGTCAATAGTAGGTTTTTGGTGGGAACTTCCTGAAATATCTTATATTTATATAATCTACAGATTATCTTTACTTTCTATGTTTTACTTTCTTTCCCATAAAAGTGAGGCGTTTTCTGGTGTCCTGAGTATGTTAATACTTCCTGCTTGTTACCTACCTCTTGGAATGTGTCCTTTTGTTTATTTTCCTATAATAATCTGAATCTAGGGAGAGACTCTAGGTTTAATATGCCTGTCAGTAAACCCATTCCTAATCCTATAGGTAATATAAAGGATTAATCAACGCCTCTCTTCATCTGTCACCCTGAATCTGCTAGTCAGAACTAGCAATTGGCATCTGGCAGTTTGCTTCTTCTTTTGAGACTAGTCCCCTTTGTATATTCCTGCTTTAGTCCCCTGCAAATACTTTTTGTGGTTGTTTCAGCCCTTTCTCATACCTTCTATGACGTGATTATATCACTTGTTTCTCATCATGTCATCTTAGTATACTAAGAGACTTTAAAGAAACATATTTAAGAGGAAAACCCATCAATTGGATACTTAAAGATGTGAATGAGAAACTAACATTAGTTATGAATAATTATTAAAAATTTAAAGACAATTGAATGTCTTATGCTTATGCTTTACAGTATCTCTAGTATCTTGTGTTTGATCATAAGATAGAAGATACCTGGCCAAATGAGCTCTTTTCCCTGAAAATAGAAACCATCTTAAGTGAAAGTCTAAAAATACAGGTTTATGTTTCTTTCTAAAATGTTTCAGAGAAGAAGTATTTCAGATTTTAATTTTAACTTGAATAGTTGAATAAACTTTACTAATTGAATACTTCTAATCCAAAAACTCAAAATATAAAATGTTCCCTATAACAAAATCTTTTGAGCATTGACATGATGCCATAGTGTAAAATTTTACATCTGACTCATGTTATTAGTCTCAATCAAAATGCTGGTGTACTAAAATGCCTTATGCTTTTAGGCTATATGTGTAAACTATTATATGAAATGAAAGTTTGTGTTTAGATTTAGGTTCTTTCTCCGAGGTATCTCATTATGTATATGCATGTATTTCAAAATCTGAAAACATGAATTCAGAAACACACCTGATGTATGACATTTCCAGTGACAGACACTTGCATGGTATTTCATTACTTTTTTTTTGTTTTTTTTTCAGTCACAGGTCTTGAACTCGGGGCCAGGGCGTTGTCCCTGAGCTCTTTTGCTCAAGGCTAGAGCTCTACTACTTTGGAGATAGGAATCTCACAGACCTTCCTGCCCAGGCTGACTGAATCCTCAGATCTCAGCCTCCTGAGTAGCTAGGATTACAGGCGAGAGCCACCAATGCCCAGCTTCATTGTATTTTTTTAAGTAAAATATTTTATTTACCTTTATTATTAATAGTAAATTTAGTCTGTGTAGTATACTGATTCCCTCATTCAATTATTGTGCTGATTACCTCATTTAATATGGAATGAAGCCATACTACATAGTATCAGCAAATGGTAATAACAAAATGGTAATAACAAAAATCTTAACCTGTTAAAATAATTTCCTTGTAGAATCCTGATATACATAAATAGTTATTAAGTACTTATTTGTGTTTCTTAGTCAGCTGTCACTATCGTAAGGATGAGTTAAATGGCAATACAAAATAAAGTTGATTTATCTGTGTTCTGATAAAATTTGAGTGTTAAGTTAATGCGTGAATGATTTTAGTAGTCTTTTGGAGTGCTCAATACCCTTGAACTTGCTTCTTTTTTATATCCTTTCCTGTTTCTAAGATGATTGTATTTCAGACCCACATTTTGCCTATAAATTTGAGGGCTCTTTTTCTGATAACTCTAATTAAGGGAATATGTAAGTTTGACCTTTTGATTTGTCTCTTGTCCTTATTTGATTTGTCCCTTGTCCTTTTAGCAAGGCGATTAGATGATAGTTTATGTGCTGAGGCCTCAAGTATTAGGAGCAGCCTAAAGATAGGTCACAATTTCATCTACTTTAAATATAATTTAGAGATGTAAAGAACCATTTTAACGACTTCCCAGAGAAATACTTCGCCATTATAGTTTCTTTTCTACCCCAATTTACCCTTCTATTCGCTATAACAAAATTGTCATGTGGATAAAAATTTTATCTCTTACTGCTATGGATTTCAACTTAGAATCTCATAAACTTTTTGCTCATTCTAAAAGGTCAACCTGGATATCTTTTTTTTTATTATTATTATTAATTTGTCCTGGAAGCGACAGATCCTGTAGAAACTATAAAGAGCTTTTCATTTGCATCTCCCTTTTGTTTATTTTTATTTTTATTTTATTTTATTTTTTTGTTGGTTGTGGGGCCTGAACTCTGGCCCTGGGCTGTCCCTGAGCTCTTCAGCTCAAGGCTAGCACTCTGCCACTAAAGCCACAGCACCACTTCCAGCTTTTTCTGCTTATGTGGTGCTGAGGAATCGAACCCAGGACCTCATGCATGCAAAGCAAGCACTCTACCACTGAGCCACCTTCCCAGTCATCTTTTAATTTTTTTATTTCACTTACTTTTACTTTTAATTTGCATGTCCCACTGACACATTTAAATACTTATTATTTGAAAAATGATCCAAAAGAAAAAAAGTATTATAACTGCAAAAATATTAGAAGACTTTTTTCTAGTTGTTGGTTTGTATAAAATTGCTAAGTAGAACTTACATTTTTTAGGAACATGAAAATGTTAAATATTTCCTTTTTTTCTGAAGAGTTTAGGAAAAGAATAATCAGTTAAGTTTGACCATGAAAATTTGGAATTGTATAGCACTTACTGATATTAAATTGGAAATAAATCAATAATTAGACTTTGGGGTTAAGCCTATGTTGGGAATCGAAGGCTGATGGAAAAATTTCTCAAGTAGACCACTGTCCTCTTTACTAGTATAAGTCAGTCTTCTGAATCAGGGATGTACAGAAGGTGGTATAAGACTAGGTCCTTGCTTTTCCTGATAAGCATTTAGTCACCATTGTGGTGATTGGGGTAGGTGTTTTTACCAATTCATATAGGTAGAAGAATTCATATAGATAGAAGAAATCATTTGGTAGAGGGAAGGCCTGTAACAGATTTCAATTAAGTTCAGTTTAGCTTTTATTATGGCCATTTAATACTTGTTCAAGTATCCTGGTATTTTATATCTTAGGTTAAATGTTGTGATCAACTCTCTGACTTCTAATTTGATTTAGTATAGCAACGATAAAGATAAAAATAATTGTCATTGCTTAATAATTGCTTATATTATTAGTCTGTTCATTTTTTTTTCATAATCAAGATGTAAGAATAACAGAAAAGTACTACAAAACTGCCTACCTCCAGTAGCTAAGGCTTTTCTGTCTAACTGGGAATTTGGTTTTGAAAGTTATAAATTCTTTGAATTCTGTTTTCTTTTCTGAACTATCTAGTATTAAAACAATTTTCCATGCTTTCATGTATAATGAACTTCATCGGTAATTTATTTATTTAATTTATTAAAATAGGAAATTTTAAACGCACAAATTTCAAATGGTATATGTATATAAAAAAGTCTTCATGTCACCCTCATACCACCCTTCCAACAGAGCTTGCCCTCTCTAGCATTTAAATTATACCATTCTTTCTTTTTCTCTGGGTGTACTGTTTGTCTTCAAGTCACTATACTGTTTTTTTTTTTAATTACTACTCCTTTCCATTATTTAAATACAGCCCTCATTCTTTCTACCTCGTTTAGTCTACCACAGCCCAGTATTACATTTTTTTTTCTTTATGGACTACTTCTGATTGTTGTTTAACTGTTACTTTACAGAACTAGACATAAATTCATCTTTGTTATGTTAAAAACCTTATTTAAATCTATTGTTGACTAAGTTCAAATTCCTGTCAAAGCAAGGGATTCTCATTGTCATTTATCCTCCATTTAAGTCAATGCTAAGTACATAATAGGAGTTCAGTATGTATTCATAGAATAACTCTAAGAAGATTATGGACTATTTTCATTGCATTAAGAATTTAAATATTTGACTCATTTCCCCTGAGATTAAATTCTGACAATCAAAGAGATATTCTTAAATACTGGAGGTCTGTATTCATACTTTCTAATTGAAATGGAGATTCCATGAAAAGGATGCTCAAATACTACCTTCATGTTCTTTGAATAGGAGCAAGTATATCCATATCATACAGTTTATAAGGCTTTAAATATAACAATAATTAACACATCTGCTAATTTCTAAAAGAAATCTATATGGGAAGCAAGAAAGAAATGACTTAAATCACTGAAAAATCACAAATATAGTTGATCTTAAATAATACAAAATATAAATAATGGAACAGTATCACTGGCTTTCCAAGTTTAGTTATTTTATGCTGAGTTAAAAAAAATTTGTCCATTTCCCTATGCGGAAGTTCAGAGGGCATACGAAATGTAAATGATGAACTATAATTTATCACACTGAGATCAGAGTTACATTTCATTTCTTAATACTATTAACTGTTTGACTAAGGGATGGTAGATAACCCCTGTGAACCTTAGATTTTTCTCTTATAAAAATGGAACTTATTTTTCTCTTATAAAAATGCAACTCTCCTCAAGAGATTAGAAGGAGGACTAGAAAAGTTATGCATTGAATGCACCAAACACTATGCATTACATGATCTCTTCATCAATATCTAACATAATGTACTTTGTCTTTTGCTAATATGTCCCTTCTCCTTCATCTTAGATACACATTACTTATTTGAATTTCTTATTTAAATTTTTACCTTTTACATAATATTTGTAATGAAGTTTTTCCTAATTATAGCAGGGATTTAGTGAATCTAGTCTTTGAAAAAGTTGTCAATAAAGAAATATAAATATTTGAAATAATTTGGACTGTATTTTGTTTCACTTAAAAGTAGCAAGTTGGAAATATATTGAAAAGATATTTAACATTTATAACAAGACATGGCTTGTCATAATTATGAAGTGTCATAATTCTATGAAATTCATTAAAAGAACTTTTTAAGTAAGTGAAGAAGTAAAATTCTTTGATCTTGACCAGGACAGTAGTATTTAAATAAGATCCTTTTAGCTGGGCACTGATGGCTCACGCCTGTAATCCTAGCTATTAAGGAGGCTGAGAGCTGAGGATTATGGCTCAAAGCCAGCCTGGGCAGGAAAGTTCATGAGACTCTTACCTCCAGTAAACCACCAGAAAACCGAAAGTGGCTCTGTGGCTTCAAGTGGTACGAGTGCTTGCCTTGAGCTGAAGATCTGAGGGATAGCACCCAGGCCCAGAGTTCAAGCCCCATGGCCGACCAAAAAAAGCCGTAAATAAGATCATTTTAGACAAGCTTTTTGGGAAATAACATTTTCTGGCCCAAATCACCTTTCATTTGAGCCATTTACGTAAATGTTTACAACTATAATGGACCTGCTTTCCTGCCTTAGAGAAATATAGGAGCCTCTTGGTAGACTGAGGCTTTAGTTGTTACCATCTAAGTTACAGTTCTGTTGTAGTACTATGAATTGCTTTCTTATAAGTAGAAGAGATTAAGCTGGAAGTAATAATTAAATATTTGGAAAATTAATCAGCCCTGTAGTTCCTCCTCACACACTGTAATCCCTAGACCTAGTTTTCTTTTGTTTATATATTTTAATTCTCAATATTGAGCCTAGAATATTTTCTAACAAATTGAGATTCTGATTTCTTAAAAATGAGATTTGGGAGATTAGTTCCATTAGTATATTCAAAACCTGTGAGGCATAGGTTAATTGACTTACTCAAGGATATTTAAGCAGATTTTCTAAAAGAAACAAAGATCTAGGTTTCCTCACTAAACTGACACATTAGCAGAATCCCAAATTTTGGTGGTTATCTTTGATCTTCTTTGAAACAGGTAGATCGACACTTGAGAAAGCTGGATCAGGAACTGGCTAAGTTTAAAATGGAACTGGAAGCTGATAATGCTGGAATTACAGAAATACTAGAGAGGCGTAAGTAAACTTTACAGTTTTCCCTCAATGTTGGATGATAGATGTGCATATCACTTTGTCCTACAAGAAAAATTTCAGATCTGCCCTTTGTGGGTGGTGGTGTCCAGGTCATATAACTTGGAGCCCAGAAATGGGAACTGCTTAGGTCATGGTTACTGAGAGAAATAATGTAGACTATCATTCCACCCTTTATGAAAATAAGTCATTCCTTTTAATTATTTATTTATATTGCTTGTTCTGGGGATGGGGATCTCATGTAGCTTTGGTGGCCTGGAACTTGCTGTAGCCCAGTCTGAACTCAGACTCTATCCTGCTTTAGCTTCCCAAATAATCAGTATAGTAAGTGGGCGACCATCATGTTGAGCAAGTCATTCCATTTTTAAATGTCTACATAGGCTAGTCAGATAAGTGGTAAGAGCAAAACTTAAAGAAAATCATCAAGAAACAAATCTGCCACTGTCATTCATTTACTCATTTTTGTAAACCTTTTTTTTTTTTTGATTGGTCATGGGACTTGAATTCTGGTCCTGGGCATTGTCCCTCAGCTCTTTAGCTCAAGGCTAGCACCCTACCACTTGAGCCACAACATTACTTCTGGCTTTTTTTCTGCGGATGTGGTGCTGAGTAATCGAACCCAGGGCCTCATGCATGAAAGGCAAGCACTCTACCACTGAGCCACCTTCCCAAGCCCCTGTAAACTTTTCATATCAGTAACAAGCCAATATTAATATTTCCTTGCTAGGCTCACTTGATCAGCTTACCCCTAACTGCCTCTTAAGTTCAACACAGGAAATTCCTGAAACTGGCAACAGGGGCTGTTTCTTTCGCTAATGTAAATGTCTTCCAATCTAAACGTGTCAGTTACATAAAGCCAGATAGTGTGATGCTAGGTAGGCCCAGAGGAGGCACTCAGTAAATGTTAATAGAACCAATTAGTGACTGATTTTTACCAGAATTTAATTAAAGTGTTCAAATGTATTTTTGTTCCCTTGGTGCATTTCAGTAGGACAAGTATGTTCCCTTTTTTCCTCACAGATGAAAGATTTCTTGACAGTTCTAGGTAATGGATAGCTCTGCTTATATGCTCTGGTGAGCAAGCTGGAGAAGACAGTCACAAATACATTTCACTATTCATAGTTACATTTTGCCTTCAAAAATAGATCCATCGTTTTGATAACCATCTAATTTATTTGTGATACTTTGATTCTGAAGGAACCCTGTCCAAGGACAATAACTATTTGTGGGCAAGATAAAATAGTCTAATAGAGCTGTTTTGATTTTTGTTTTAAATGCTGATGAAAGCTGTGAATATTGACTATCCATGCCTATTCAGTACTGCAGGAAGGTCGATAAAGCATCCTCTAAGAACACAGACCTCAAACTGAATTGAATAAGTTATAAAAACTGCTTTATCCTACATCTTGCCACAATTTAATCTCAAGGGATCATAGACATACCTAGAGAATTTCTTTAGAAATGTTTTAAACCTTGGTATTAAAGATTCTATTCTTTCCTTTTTGCAAGCAAAATCCCTAGCTTCCTTTAAGAAGTCTTTAATAATTATAGAATTTCCTTTCATGTAGTCATGTCCCCATTGACTAGAACTTTAGGAAAAGTTCTCATCTCCACAGTAAATGAAATTTTCTAGACCAGACTACTTAGAAGGATTATACTGTTTCTTCTCCCACTAATGAGACCACCATTCTGGTGAATTCCCTAGTGAGATAATAGCATGCCTTGAGCCATTTTGTTCTTGAGGCAAAAATTGAGAAGAGACTGTCTTTACTTTTGAGACACAGAAAGTTGTAGTGGGATTGATAATGGTAACTCTCAACTGGCTTACAGGTGATGCAGGCAGGTATATCAGGGCTTGACAGTCCTCTGTTGGGGAGGGAAGGTGTGTCTTACTATAGTTGGTTGACATGGTTATCTTTTTTTTTTTTTTTTTTTTTTAGGCTCTTTGGAATTAGATACACCTACACAGCCAGTGAATAATCACCATGCTCATTCACATACTCCAGTGGAAAGTAAGTTTGATTTGGTTGCTAATTTTTAAATGTAATTAAAATCTTGCTAATATTACCTATATTGTTTTTATAAGGTTTTTTTCATTTTAATTACAGACTTCATTTGAGAAATTCCTATTTGATTTCGGAATAGAATAGCCTGTTTTCTATGAAATTAATAAAGAGAATATATATTTGAAATATTAGCATGTATAATTCATAGCTACAGAGGTCTGGTTCTCTCTAGGAATGTCATAACTGACCCAAACAATAAACTATTTCATATAGTGGGGTCTTGGTCTTTTTCATCCTTCCTTTCTAGTTATTAGTGTAGTGTTTGGCATATAGTGATTGCTATCATTATTAATGATCGATCACCTTGATGACTATTAGAGTGTGTTTGTGTGTGTGTACTTTTTTCCTTTTTTTTTCCAGTTGTGTGGTTTGAACTTAGGGCCTGTGTGCTGTCCCTGAGCTTTATGCTCAAGGGTAAGGCTCTACCACTTGAGCCATAGTGCCACTTCCAGTTTTTGAGTGGTTAATTAGAAATAAGAATCTCAAAAGAACTTTTCTGCCTGCGCTGGCTTCAAACGGTGATCTTCAGATCTCAGCCTCCTGAGTAGCTAGGATTGCAGGCGTGAGCCACCTGTGCCAAGATATGTATGTGTGTGTGTGTGTGTGTAGAGAGAGAGAGAGAGAGAGAGAGAGAATAGAGAGAGAGTAAATTTAATAAGAAAGAAGGGTTAATTCAAAGCTATTCAGAATGGGAGATAATGATATGGAAAACAGATCTTCCCTCATGTTATATGTCCATCGTGGGTGATCTTTAGTAGTGTTTTGCTCCTGAAATATCTAAAATGTGTACTCTGCAAATAACATACATCAAGCGGAGAGTTCAGTTTGTTTTTTCTGAGTGAATAGTGTCCCGTGTGTCATGAGGAGCCCCAATCTTGACTACATTGGTTTATGAGTGGCCTTGTCCATAGTTCTCTAAAGTTTAAAAACAGCTGAATTTTTTTATTTATTTTCAGAAAGGAAATATAATCCCACTTCTCACCATACGACAACAGATCATATTCCTGAAAAGAAGTTTAAATCTGAAGCTCTTCTGTCTACCCTTACATCAGATGCAGCTAAGGAAAATACACTGGGTAAATTTATTTTCAATGTTTTTCTTTTAGTTGTTTGTATTAGAATAAGGGGAAATGAATTCAGAGTTAATGAATTGTAACATTAAGAAAAGGGAAACATATTCCATTATTCCATTTACTATATAATACATGTAGAATTTAAATTTAATGATTATTCTGTGCTGGCAAGTAATATATTTTTAACACTGTAACAGTGTGTTCTCTGTAACCATTTTTATTCTTCTATACAGGTTGTCGAAATAATAATGCTACAACTTCTTCTAACAATGCTTACAATGTGAATTCTTCCCAACCTCTGGCATCTTATAACATTGGCTCGTTATCTTCAGGAACTGGTGCAGGAGCTATTACTATGGCAGCAGCCCAAGCAGTTCAAGCTACAGCACAGGTAAAAAATACAAAGCTTAGAAACAAAAGTATTACCTTTCGATCACATCAGTAATAAATTTTAATAGAAACAGTTCAATGTAAGCAAATGGTTTTCTGACATTGAATAGTTCCATTTTTAAAACACTTTTATTTAATGAAATAATAATTAGGAGTCACCTGGCTGAAAATGAAAAGTGAAAAACCTGTTGAATATAAGAAATTGTTCCGGCTCTTGGGATTTTTGACTGTGTTTCATAGCAGGGCTGGGACAATTCCATATTCTCTGCCACTCTCAGAGCTTGCTCTTGGACCTTTGTTTACTACAGTCTGTTTATTTCTGTAGTTTACTTTTCTAGCAAAAGGAGAAGTTGTTCTTTCCATAGATACTTCCTCATTTAGTATAAAAACTGATTTTAAATCTTAACATGAAATTGCTTAACTGATAATGATGAAAATAACAGTTTAAACAAAACAGACCAATATTACATAAACCAAAAATAATAGTTGTAACGTAAAACTTGCAAAAGAAAATCTATGTATTTTTATATACTAATGTTATCAATGAATGTCTACTTAAGATGAAAGAAGGGCGGAGAACATCAAGTTTAAAAGCCAGTTATGAAGCATTTAAGAATAATGACTTTCAGCTGGGAAAAGAATTTTCCATGCCCAGAGAAACAGCTGGCTATTCATCATCTTCAGCGCTCATGACAACATTAACGCAGAATGCCAGCTCATCAACAGCCGACTCCCGCAGTGGCCGAAAGAGCAAGTAAGTTTATTGTACCATAAGCCATCCCTTTGCAAAGTACTCAATATACTTACTTCATGTCCCAGCTATGTTAACAAGAGGTGTGATATATTGGAAGACATGTTCCTTTATAGTGCCTTACTTTGAAAGAGTAGTTTGAAGATTTAAGTTAGAATTGTTTTTAATGTTTCTATAATATTAGATTGAGTTTTTAAATAAATGACTTCTGTTCATTAGGATAAGAAATTTCATAATGCTGCTTTTCAGCTATTATTCTGTTTGTTGAAGGCCAACTAATAGAATAATAAATTATAACATGGGAATTTCTTTAAGATTTTTTTCGATTTGGTTAATAGTAAGGTCCCCAGTTTTTTGCTTGTATCCCCAAAATTGATGATATGAAAATGTGCCTCACTTCTGTATGCGAGTCTCCTTGGATGAGTTGTAAATAGGAAAACAAGCAGCATTTGGCACTATCCATCTCAGACTGATAACTGAATTAGAAAGTTGGATATTTATGAATAATGAAAATTTAAATGTTAAATCTAAAGAATTAGTTATCTAATAATTGTATTACAAATGTATGTTAAAATGTATTTTGTGTTAATAAACTCTCAAAAGAATAAAAAAAACCCTACAGAATTGTTAAACATTTTAAAAAGTCAATTGTAATGACTCAGATTTAATGTGTCTGCTGTTAATAAATTTATCTATTTAAAAAATTTAATTTAGAGTATTAACTGATGTTGAAGTCCTATATTTTAACATTTGTAATCAACATTGAGCTAATTAGAGAACTTAAGAATTTTAACACACTGGGTTTCCTGTCTTGGATTGTCATAATTATTTGTATTAAATACCTTTGTGCTTTTGTAATTTAGTAGCCACAACTAGCACTAATTCTTAAGATATTACTAACAATTTAAATCAATGTTAGGTATCAACTTTCATATAAATTTTTATTTTAAAAACCCCTTCTTTTTAAAGTGGCCTAAAAATGATCTTCCTACTTAAATTTCCTACATAGCTGAAATGGCATGTGTGCACTACTATACCCAAATGAGATGAAGTTTCTTTTTGCCTTTACTGGCCTTGAATTGTGATCCTTAGTTTCTGCCACTTGAACAGTTATGATTACAAGCCTAAAATGCTGTGCCTGGTGGAACCATGGAAACGTTTTTAAGGGATTTTTCTGTTGGATGTTCTTATTCTCCAGAAAACAATATAAATAAGCTACTATAAAATGATGCTTTTGTTGCACTAATTACAGTGTATTTATAATTTGATTGCTTTAACTCAGTGTTAGAAATTCATTTGTACATTTATTGTCATTTCATATCATTATGTAAGAGTTATTCTTAGATAACTTACCATGATGAGCTACTAAAACTAATTATCTTTTTTCTAGAAACAACAACAAGTCTTCAAGCCAGCAGTCATCATCATCTTCCTCTTCTTCTTCCTTATCATCCTGTTCTTCATCTTCAACTGTTGTACCAGAAATCTCCCAACAAACAACAGTAGTTCCAGAATCTGATTCAAACAGTCAGGTTGACTGGACTTATGACCCAAATGAGCCTCGATACTGCATCTGTAATCAGGTAAATGTCTGGTCTGTGCCTTTATGAACAAGTAGAAGGAAGAGAGCTGTTTCGTTTTCATTTTTCTTCTTTGTTTTTGCTTTCTTCTTTTTTGGCTTCTCCTGGGGCTTGAATTCTGGGCACTGTCCCTGAACTTCTTTTGCTCAAGGATAGCTCTCAACCACTTGAGCCACACCGTCACTTCCAGCTTCTTCTGAGTAGTTTGTTGGGGTTCAGAGTCTTCATGGACTTTTTTTGTCCAGGCTGGCTTTGAACCACAATCCTTAGAACCCAGCCTCATGAGTAGCTAGGATTACAGGCATGAGCCCACCAGTGTCTGATGCTATTTCATTTTTAAGTGCGCTTTATACTCTTGCCGATATACTTTTCTCCTTTCCTTCTAAAACTGACATGTTTGTTATGTTTGCTATAAATGCAAAAAAGGATAAGGATAAATGAAAGTTATCCATAATCTTGGCCCACAAATGTGAATGTACCACTACTATGCACACAAATTATTAGCAGTCAAGAGAAACTTATTTTCTAATGACTCTGGAGACTAAAGAGTCTAAGATCAGGATGAACCATTACATGATGAGGCTACTTTTCAGCTTGTAGACATTTTCCTTCTCTTTGGGCAGAGAAAGACAGAGGGAGATCAGAGAAATGCAGACAAACATGAAGGGGCTCTGGCGTTTCCTCTTTTAAGGCATCTGCTCCATCAGATTAAGGTCTTGTCTTCAGATATAGAAAATTAGGGCTTCCACTTGTGGAATTGGAGAGATACAAACATTGATTCTCCAACAAATTTGCTGATCTGTGTGTATCTGACAACAGCAATCACAATATATGTATTTTTGGTAGCTAGGTTGTTTTTTTTTCTCACTAAATTAGGTAAAATCAGCATGGCTTTTAAATATCCTCTTTTTTTTACCTTTTAAAAAAGATTATTTTCAAAATTTCTAGTTAACATTTGTACTATAAATACATAACTGGTTTACTTTAGTGAGTTCGTCTTAGATTATTAATGACATTTTGATAATTATTATTTTATAACATAACTCATTAATGTTTTTTAACAAATGATATATTTGCAATGGAGTTTACAGTTAATGTCATAGATAAGATAGATAACATGAATATCTCTTAAAGACATAATACTGAATTGGCTAGTGAGTCATTTGTGAAAATTACTTTTATATAAACAACAGAAAATACTTTTCTTGAACAATACAGTTGGCTGATATGATTGCCATGGAGTTACTGGAAAATTCTCTTTTCTTTGGTGATTAATATTAGACATTGAACTGCTCCATCACTTCAACTAATCCTTTGCTTTTTAAAAAAATTTTATAATGAGTTTTACAAATAAAATTAAACTATTAACAAGGTATTGCTAGAAATTGGTTACCAAAACTGGATGAGCATGCTCATTTTCTACCCCAGTTCAATAGCAGGTATTATTTTCTCTTGAAAAACATTCACTAATTTGATAGTTTTCTATCTCATGATTATTTCAGTTGAATTTAGTATTCACATTGTTTTTGGTTATTTTTATTCTTTTATGTTGTTTTATTTTTGTATTTGTGTCTTATTTACTATTGATACTTTTCTTGCTTTAGTTTTTATTATAAAATTGCATTCATATGTAGTAAAATAAGAGTCTTTTTCTTGGTAAAAGCATCTGTATAATATATTCTTAATGCTTTCTTTTGATATGTGGTCTATGGTTATATGCAGAATAGTTCATTTTTACAAATATTCCTTGCCCCTACCCAAAAAGCCTTAGAAAAAATTATACCCTATTTCAGTATACTTAATATGTAATATAACTGTGTAGTCAAATATTTTCTCTATAAATTCTATGGATTTCAATACAAATTACATAGTCATAATAAAAATATTTAATATTTTTAATTAGGTATCATATGGAGAGATGGTGGGATGTGATAACCAAGATGTAAGTATTAATTTTTTCTAGTTGGAAATGAAAAGAGTCACATATTTTATTTCTCCAATCTACAAATCATTTATCTATAAAACCACAATATAGTAGTACTATTCTTTAATGTGTTCAATATTTACATTTTAAAAATTAATTACCTGATGCTCTGTGCAGATTATATTTTTTTAACAGTAATAGCATTACATTATATGAAAACTAAACATCTTTTTTCTCTGTGTGCCAAAGATACTGGGTTTCCCTAGAGTCTGGTTCATTTATCACATTGAAGATGCAACTTTAAAATGTATTCTTATAGGAGGCAAGGTCGTAAGGAATAATTGGAAGATAGATGGGAAGTTATTACGCTCTTATTAGTAGTGTAAGTGGTATTTCTGAATGCATACTAGAGGCCTCAGCTGACAGGAACTAATGGTATAAAAAATGCAAGACCAAAAGGAAAGAATTTCTATTTTAGAAAGCTTAATTTAGTTAGATACATATTAAATGTGGAGACTATATCTAATAATTTGATTCCTTCCTTACAGTCTTACAGCTTAACCTCTTTTTGTCTGTCTATTATTTTGAATATTATCTAAGTACTGATCATTTGTGTCAGAATCCTACAGTTAACAATAGCTTTGTCAAACACTCTAAAGAACAAAAGAGACTGTCTTGGTCCAATAACGTTTATACCTTTCCCTGCCTTAACAGGATAGGGCTGTTGCTGGTTATTTGAAAACAGTTTTACCTCACCATGTAACGAATACTACCCTATACTTTCTTTTTGTGCAGTTGATGAAAATAATAAATGAGATTTCTGTAAATACCAGGATCATAACTTGTAGGATTCCCCCTTGCACCTGCTATGCCCCTGAGTGTGAAGACTTTTTGTAGAATTGTAAAACTTGTATAGGTTTCAGAGAGGAAATTTTTTTTCTATATATTTTAACTGTACAAAAGCACTTCAAAAGGAAGCTCAGGGCATACCTTTTTGTCTCTTGTTTTGGACTGTATTGTATTTTTGGCATCTGTCTAAGCTAGGATCTTTGCTATGTAACCCAGGCTGGACTCAAACTGAGGGTTGTCCTGCACCAGCCTCATTAGTGCTAATGACCAGCTTCCTTTATGTCTTTAATTAAAACTAGTTTATTCTATTTCATAATGGAGCAAATAAAGTGGTAAATATTTTTTTAACCTTTAAAATTTATAGTACACTTACCTTCTTAATAAAAATTTCACCTGGCCGTCCACACACACACACACACACACACACACGCTATGTACATATGCTCTGGGAATGCATCCCAAGAATCTCCAATATCAAAGAAGCATAATTTTTATGTGCCTATGTTTTCTTTTATATGAAGTATATCCATTAGACTTAAGTGGTTTCTAAATAATTCTATAGCTAAGAAAAGCTTATTTCACAAATCTCATTTTTGTTAAGTGGACTAATCAGTCTCTTGGACATATTTTGGTATATTATTGGTTCTTTAGAAGTACCAAACTTTGTTTTGTAAATTTTCCTTTCCAGTGCCCAATAGAGTGGTTCCACTATGGGTGTGTTGGATTGACAGAAGCACCGAAAGGGAAGTGGTACTGCCCCCAGTGCACTGCTGCGATGAAGAGGAGGGGCAGTAGACACAAATAAGGGCAACATTTCATTTAAAGAAGAAAACAGCGTTAGCTCAGCATTTTTTATAGGACACTGAAAAAGAAGAAAGAGAAAGAAGAAACAACTCATTTCCAGGCAACTATTTAAAAGATTTACACAGACAATCCTACAAGATCTTGAGCTTAAATTTTATGGGTTGTATTTTAATTATGTAAGTAAATTATTTATGCACTCCTGGTGTACTATGAATATTATTCCAGTTAGCCTTGGATTCTTTCTGTGGCCAACATATGCAGACATTTATACTCCTCAACCATTTCCTCAAAGTAATGGGCATTCTATAATTTAGACTTCAAAGAATTCCAGCAATGATGATTTTAAGAGAAGTATTTTATATTCAACAGGTATATTCTGCTGCATGTACTGTACTCCAGAGCTGTTATGTAACACTGTATATAAATGACTGCAAAAAAAAGTTAGTCCTTCAAAAAAGAATTTAAGATAATGATTTTTAAAATGCCTTTATAATAAGCTTTGTTTCTTTGTGAAACTAATTCAGCAGGCTGAAGGAAATAGTTCATGTGTTAAAGTGGGCTGGTATCCTCTAGAGTACCTGGGTACATAAACAGAAACTCCTGTAAGTAAAAGCTAATTGTGCCATTAGTCTTTATATGTTTCTGCATCCAGATAGAGTGCAGTTCATGGGGTGGGGGCGGGGCTGAACAAGAAAGGGTGTTAAAGTCATTTTTATACCAAATGTGTTTATTTTTTTGTGCAAGTAATCCTTAAAATTGGAATTGTATTAGGTGTTAAAATAAAGTTTTTAAAAAATTACTTGTATTTATACTTTACACACTTAATAATGAAAATGTCTTAATTATAGTTAATTTCCAGTTTTCGTAATCTAAAAAGCACAGAGAATTGGGACACAATGCTGTGTACTCTGTGATTTCTATTTAATAATGCTTGGAGATTGTGTTATGATTATAAGAGAAAGACATTTTTAATGTAAATGTAAAGTGCCAATGTATTTTTTAACCCATTTCTCTGGTTTTTCCTTCAGTCTAAGGAACATAAAATAATCCTAATTACAGCAGATAAAATAGGAGTGTTAGTGATGGATGTTTTCACTGGAGGCATTTAGGCCATCATGAATATAGAGAGAGACCTTCTAGACTGGAGCTTAAAATTTGGCTCCATTGTTAATTCCACAGCATAGTGGTGTGACAGTTAGTTCCATCTTTAATCACTGGGCCTTATGAAACCAGGGTGATACCGGCTGTAGGATGTCTTTAAAGCACTCCTGAGGTTTTATTCTAGAGGTGCTATTTATATAGATTTTACATAGCAAAGGTTTTATGTAAAATGTAACACTAAGTCTGGTAGATAAAAATCCTTACAACTTCAAGGGTAGTTACACTATCATTTTTCCTTTTGTACTGAAACTGTTTGATTCCATCAGATTTGTGCTTTAATTCAAAGAACTTACCCAAGTGACAGTGTAAAATCTATGCAATGTTACCCAGAGGATGAGATAGGAGATGTCAAAGGTCTCTTCCAGCTTTGAGATCTGTGGGGCTGAGATACTGTGGTCTTATTTTATAACTTTCAGCTTCCTCCAAAAGTTAGATTTTGATTTGCAATCTCATGATTTTGTAATAGCGTGGGTATTATGTATCCTGATAGTATTTTCATGGTAATATTATTAGCTTTTAAGAAGCACTCTTTTAGTATTATGTTCAGTTAGCTTATTAGTATGTTGCCTTGAGTTGCTCATGTGAATAAGTTACATCTCATTTTATAATATAAGTTTTCTGAAATTGGTTGAAATAAAAGGGAAAAGCCTTACGCATAGCCTTATTTTCAGAGGAAGTTCTTTGGCTGAGTCAGGAACATTTGTTTCCAGCTACTATAACCCCTTTGTTTTCTAAATTCTACTTCTTATAACATCACTCTGAAACACGTTGACAAGTTCTGAACTCAAACTGAATATGTTATGAATTGTATATAAAGAACAAAACTATGATTATGTGCAAGTATTAAGTAATGAGTAGAACCTGTTAATAAATTATATGTATATATACATATATATATATACATATATATATAATGGGCCAAACATAAAACTACCTCATTTAAAACAGAAGTGGCCAACTATTAGTATTCTCTGTTGTTCTTTACACCAAGGGCATTCAAAATTTTTGTTGTACAGTATTCATGTAACAGTTGGTGGCATATAAAGTCCAAATGTGGTTCACAATTTATAGGTGATGAAAATTAAGGCCTTATTGCTGTAGAGTGTATATCTAAATGTTCATGGTGACACATTTGAAGCAATAAATGGGTTAATTAAATGCCTAAATGAAGCTGAGTGTTTGATAAACATATGTCCATTCTTTTGAAGGGCAGTTAACTTTGTGGCTCTTTACTTCTTGAAAACAAACTCCATGTAGGTTAGATTTTCAGCCATCCTCAAATAGTGCAGCTTTAGTGCTCTCTGTCCTTGGACAAATTAGTATGTCATACATGAGTTATGAGTGGCTTTTGTAGATACTACAAAGCTTTAAAGAAGAGATCTCTTAGCCATAGGTGGGTATTAAGAGAAAAGACTATCCTCCAAAGATCCCTATGAGGTAGATGTGATAGGAAGAGAAGAGGAACAGTGGGATCCATCATGGTAACAGACAGCGTGATGGTTTACTCCATGCCATTTAGATGCAGAAAGCGCAGTGAACCTTGGGAGCCAGGAAGTTAAGGTCAAGAAGACTTAACAAAGAAGGTATCATTTGAACTCAGTCCTGAAGACTGAAGTAGGGAAAGTTTTCAAGATGGACTTCAACGCCATGAGTGTCTTGGCCAAGAGTCTGGAATAGTCGGTCCTTCTAGAGGTAGATGGAGGAGGGAAAGATATCAAAGACTGTTCCTGAAGCACTGCCATGGAATTCTTTTGAAATAGTAACATTTGTTTTGTTGGTTAACCATAGTTATATATATATATATTTTTGTCGGTCGTGGGGCTTGAACTCTGGGCCTGGGCGCTGTCCCTCAGCTCTTCAGCTCAAGGCAAGCGCTCTACCATTTGAGCTACAGCGCCACTTCCGGTTTTTCTGGTGGTTTATTGGAGATAGGAGTCTCACGGTCTCTCCTGCCCGGGCTGGCTTTGAACTGCGATCCTCAGATCTCAGCCTCCTGAGTAGCTAGGATTACAGGCATGAGCCACCAGCGCCCGGATCATAGTTATATTATTAATAGTTTAATGAAATCATAACATTCAAAATAATAAAATAGAGATGATCTAAAATTCATCTGTAACTTACTGCTAAATGTTATACTTAGGGTTACTCTAATTTTAACTACATTAATTTTTTAAATGACAAGTTAGAATTTCTAGTGAATCAGAATTTTTAGCTTTCTAAGATGATAAAATCTGAATTACTGAAACAGTTTGTGGTTCAGGTATAGAGAAATAAGTTTAAAGTGACTCAAGATAAACTCCTTATTTAGTTTGACAAAGGGAAATATCACATGGACATTTCTGATTGAGAAGTAGAAAGTCATATGTGTTGTTAGTATTTTAACTAATACATTACTAGAAGTATAGGCTTAATAAAAATATTTCTTCAAAAGTGATTTAATTTGTTAACATTTTTAGTTAACCTTTCTTCCTTGCCAACAAAGGAAACTGTAGGTGAGAGCATTATTATAATCGCTCATTTTTCTTGCTGTTGGTTGGTTGAAAATTTAAATTGGATTCAGGTTAGACTTGGAATGTGGAGTAAGAGGAGGAGTGAGCATGTTTGTTTAGGGCTTGTTTCCCGCCCCTCCCTGTCACCTGTATAGGATATGTTAACAGAGCACCACCACTTAGGGAGGTATACAGTCGCTACTCTTTAAAGCAAAAAGTTTAGTACAGTAGTAGGAAAATAAAATTATGATTGCATCTTAATTCTTTTTACATTATTAAATCTTCTAATAAAGGAGGCTTTCCACATTTAAGTAAGAATAGTTGTAAGAAGTACCAGGTGACTTTGAAAGTTGTTTGTCAAATGTCATACAAAGAGCCAGCCAGAAATATTTCCAAATAAACTTGGGCAGAAACAGGCATTTGATGAGCAAAGTTAGGTTTTATGACAGCTTTTCCAGCATGTTGCATTAGAATTCATTAAAATTTATGTTCATGCTCCTGAAGCCTTTTTTTTTAATCTGTAACATGACAAATTATTTTCTTGTGTAGTTGGAGGAATTGATTTGTTAGGATTTTTTTTTCCCATGCGTTTCCCAAGTGTATCAAAGGTGCTTGGGCCTTACTAGTGGCTGTCATTTACAAATCTTTTAGTTCAACGACTAAAAGCAATTGAGATGAGTTTGTTGAAAGCAAGAAAAAGTTCAGCTAGTCTATTGTTCCTAGGACTTAGATTAGATGTAATCTTTTGACTTTCTGTAGTGGGCATTTGACTAGAGATCCATATTCAGTCAAAGAATGTTGCCTCTTACCCACCCAGATTAATAAGCTAAATGAATGCCAGCATTCTTCAGAGTAAACAGATAAGACCTATTCCAGATAAGGGAAGGAGGGAGGAGCCAAATTATGTAGCTGTCTTAAGACACTTAAAATGTATTTTATGTTTTCCAAGGAACCATTAGGGTTTCCAAGGAATAAGTTTCAAATTGAGAATGGAATCTGATACTGTCATGTAACAAAAGCTAAACTTGTTGAAGTGATGAAAAAACAGATTCTAGCCCTAGGTCAAGATATATACTGTCCTGAAGTAAGTCAAACTGTAAAATTCAATGGGTTATCTGTCTGCCTGCATGTCTGAGAATATGTTTATGTTTGTATATATGTAGACACATTATTATGTGTGTACACATATATATATATATATACATACACATAAATACATATATTCACACAGACTTAAAAGATGAAAATTTTGAGTTTAAATAAAATCATTCTCAAAGGTACATTTGTTTTGAAGAACAGTACTTATACTGCTCCCCAAATTATAAATGGATCCAGAAAACAATTACAATCTCTAAGGAAGCAAATCATGCCATTGCCACAAGCTTCTGAGGATTTAACCATCTTTTTGGTAACTTCGATTTCCTGGCCAAAGCACTTTGGACATTTTGTGCTGTGGGATGTTATGGGCTAGAACACAGGTACAGCAGCAACACTGGCCTCCACTCAAGAATCCTGCCACTCAGGTGTGAGAAACAAGTCTCTAGAAATGACCAGATGTCCCTCAAAAAACGCATCAACTAGGTAAAATAGTATCAGGATGTGAAATCTTGAGGAAGAACAATGGAAATAATAATGGAAAGCATTCGAATCAGGTAGCCTTCTACAATTACAATTTTTTTAAAAGCAATCTTTTGTAAGAAAGTATTGAAGGTATTGCTTGAAACTACTAGGGCTTAGAGATTGGAAAAGCAGTTCTCATTAAGCAGTTTCTACTCTCACGGGACATACGTGCATAATAAACAGGATTCATATATGATAAAAGTAATTTTAGTATTTGAACAAGCAAATTCAAAATATGTGTATAGATAGCTGGGGAAGTAAATATTGTGACCAGTGGAAAGCTGTGTAGAGCTAAGAGCAGATGTTCCATAGAAAAGGCAGCACCAAGTGCTAGCATGTGAGTTGGACAAAGGATTGCTGCTGTAGAAACACTGAGCTAAAGGACAATCCAAAATAAAGCATTTGATTTAGACCCTTACTATAATTAATTGAGGAACACAAAGATTGTAGATTGTGTTTATTTAAACAAGACAAGAACAAAGTAGAAAATTATCAGTTGGGTATTTTGCATATATAAAACTTGAATGGA